TATCAAGATGCTCCATGTACAATTCGAATTGCCCAGTGAAAAAGTTTGGCATTTAGTGTGAGATTAACTAAAGAACTTGCCAATTTCTTTATGCGCGGCCAGTTTAGATGAATCATAGACACAAGGTGGAACAATGAAACCCATTTGCTTAAATAAATCCTTTCATCAATGGGCTCTGCTAGCTTGGGATTCTAGCGATTGTTTAACACCTGAGGAGATATCAGATTGGGAAAAGCCAGCCCAAATCCAGTGGTGAAATCCAATTTTTTTTACTACCGTGGGCATGGTGTGGCTTAGTGGGCATGGCAGGGGAAGGATACTGCAAAATCTCCATTCCCTCCCCACTCGGGGGGGGGGGAAGGATACTGCAAAATCTCCCTTCCCATCCCACTCTGGGGCCAGCCAGAGATGGTATTTGCTGGTTCTCCAAATGACTCAAAGTTTCCTCTATCGGTTCTCCGAACTACTCAAAATTTCTGCTACCAGTTCTCCAGAACCTGCTGGATTTCACCGCTTCCCAAATCAGTATACTATTAGGTATACTGAGAAAAGGTATCAAAGTTTTTTTCCCATATTTTGCTTGGTCTAAATGCATACAAGCAAAGTATGAAATAAAAGTCTCTTTTCTAGAGTCGCCCTTACAATATACTAGATAAGACCATGTCTGTATGATCTGCTGAGTTTAAGTCACCCTGAAACATGATTGGGGAATTAAGATCTTGATCGATGCAGAGGTAATCAAATTAACTATCCCTGCAGTACACAGTCTCACAGCAGATATATAAGGCACTTATGCATTTTCCTTGAGCTTAAAAAAAATGGAATAAAAATTTCTAATGGCTTTGGGATTGGAGGCACAGGGTGGGGGGGTTGCTGGATTTTTGCCCACCTCCCTCCTGAGCCCAATTAATTCCCTACATGTTCACAGAGATTGAAAAGAAGCTGGAAAAGTAGAGATGTTGCTGTCAGAACAACTCTGCTTTGCAGTCATTCCATCAGCCTGTTTCTATGGCAGGTGGAAACAATGGTAGTTATTGGAGACCTACAGATTCAGGTGACATATCAGACTGCAACTGAGGCACATTATCTGAAAAAGGGCATGATTTTAAACTTACTTAGTATCAAAAGTGTACAGCTACCCATTTTGCAAAAAATGGCTCTGCTTTATTGTAACCATCATTGTACCCTATTGAACAGTTGAGTAGCCTAACTTCAATGGCTAAATTCACGGTATGCTTAGTGAAGTCAGTTATAGACACAGTGGATGCTTTAGCTAATTCTGGGGTTTGGAAGTGTAGTTAGTTAACATAAACCCAAGCCATTTTGGAAGTTGATGGTTCAGTGCATTGTATAAATCCCCAAAGGGCGTGCTACGCAGATATAGTCAGTGTGGCTTACTAAAGTCTAGATTTGCTAGATGAGCATGTGATTATCCATCTAGTCCAGAATTGTGAATTTTGATTTATTGTAACTCTGTAGGGCAGTGTTTCTCAACTTTGGCCACTTGAATATGTGTGGACTACAAGTCCCACAATTCCCTAGCCAGTCTGCTCGCTGGGTAATTCTGGGAGTTGGAAGTTCACACATCTTCAAAGTGGCCAAAATGGAGAAAAATTGCTCCATTTTGGGGTCCTAGGACAGACCATGAGGCTACAGTCTTGCCAAAAAGAATAAATGGATAAATAAATGCCAGAAGCAGCAATACAGGAAAAAAATGATTTATCAAATCATTTGTTTACCTGTTCCAGTCCATTCTGTTCCAGAAGAGAGCATAAGGGAGAGAGTTATATTTATTGGTAGCTATTTCGCATCCTGCAGATGATTTAAGAATTTCAGGTTCCCAATTGTTTAACAGCAGTAAGGAAATGGCTCCTCATTCCGGGTGCAATATTGTGAGTTATATTTCCTTTTGGTATATCCTTCTCCAAGATCTTTGGAAATTATTTATATGTTTTTGTACACTTTGGGTTCTTGGGAAGGGATAAAGAGTTTCCACTAAAAGGTCAAATCAGATTCTTAAGTCTGTAATCCTGATTGAGGTAGGGCAAGTTTGCATCTGAAGAAGAATTTCTCCATACGCTGACTTTTATAGGATTCACTAAGGATTGAATTGGGAATCCTGATGTACTATTAGTAGATCCCTTGCTGGATTTCAGCCCTTGTCCATAGGAAGGAATGTTGGAAGGCTACTTTATATCAGCCTCACTAGATCCTAGTGACTTTTCAAACTGTCAAGTAGAGAAAGACATCTTTCATATGTTCTATTTAATTTTTTAAAGGAAGATGCTCAGGATTATCTTTTTCCACAAGGAGGAAGTTACAACAACAACTTCTAGCTGGTCTTGGCTAGAATAAAATGCTAAACTAACTTTATGCAAGACTATGTGTTCTTATATGATGAGAGAAAGTAAATGGATTTTAGGAGGTGCCTAATGATTCCATAAATGATCAACCATAGCATATTCTATACTGACTCTAAGCAGGTATTCCATGGTTAACTTCATCCTTATTAGGAACTATCAGATTTATTAATAAGATTTATTTATAAGATATATTGATAGGATTTATAACCTATTTTTCACTGATGAATTTAAGGTGGCATCCATAGTACTCCATCCTATTTTTCCCATAACAATCCTATGAGTCAAAGAGAGGGCTAAAAGCTCTAAATCAGTATTTCCCAACTTTAGTAACTTGAAGATGTGTGGACTTCATTTCCCAGAATTCCCCAGCCAGAATAGAGTTGGCTGGTATGGCTGACTGGGGAATCCTGGCAGTTGAAGTCCACACATCTTTAAGCTGCCAAGATTGAGAAACACTGCCCTAAATCATTCAGTGAGCTGCTAACACTGCTCCTAGATCAGCCCTTTCAACCCTGCACCACTCTGCACAGAGGATATCGTGCCAGTTAGTATAATTGAAAACACCAAAAAGATTATATAGTATGCAAAAATAAATCACCCATCCCCAAGAGGGTAGTGTTAGAAGACACATTTGCGAACCAGTAGGGAAGGTAAGTGAATCCCACCTCTGAATCAAATCATACTAGGAAACAAATAAATATAAATTGTAGAGATACAAGCAACAAGGTTATAGTCATAAGTGGGAGGAGATAGGTAATAGGAAGGATGAGAAGAATAATAGTAATACAGTCTTAGTAAATACCATGTTTCCCTGAAAATAAGACCTCCCCCAAAAATAAGACCTCCCCAAAAAAATAAACCCACCACCAAAAATATTTAAACCCATGCACAGCTGGTCCCTCCCTGCCATTTCCTCTGGTTAGGAAAACAGACCTGGAAATCAGGTAAGACAGCAAGAGGATTCCCGTCTTGCTCCACGCACCCCAAAATAATAAGACCTCCCCGAAAATAAGGCCAAGCACTTATTTTGAAGTTCAAAAAAAATATAAGACAGGGTCTTATTTTCGGGAAAACATGGTAGTTTGACAGTGTTGTGGGAAATAGTTGTTTAGAAGTGTGATGGCATTCGGGAAAAACTGTCCTTGTGTCTAGTTGTTCTGATGTGCAGTGGAGCGTCATTTTTAGGGTAGAGATTGAAACAATTTATGTCCAGGATGTGAGGGGTCTGTAGATATTTTCTTTTTGACTCATGCAGTATACAGATCCCCAATGGAAGGCAGGTTGGTAGCAATTTTTTTTCCTTAGTTCTAATTATCCGTTGATAATTGTGTTTGTCTTGTTTGGTTGCAGAGCCAAACCAGACAGTTATAGAGGTGCAGATGACAGACTCAATAATTCCTCTGTAGAATTGAATCAGCAGCTTCTTGGTCAGTTTGAGCTTTCTGAGTTGGTGCAGAAAGAACATTCTTTGTTGTCCTTTTTTGATGACATTTTTGATGTTAGGTGTCCATTTTAAGTCTTGAGATATGATAGAACCTAGAAACTTGAAGCTCTCTTACTATTGATACTCTGTTGTATAGTATTGTAAGAGGCGGTAGTATAGGAGGATTTCTCCTAAAATTTACCACCATTTCTACGTTTTGAGTGTGTTCAGTTCAAGATTGTTCTGGTCGCACCACAAAGGTAGTTGTTCAACCTCCCGTCTGTATGCAGATTCATTGTTGTCTCGAATGAGACCAATCACTGTTGTATCATCTGCAAACTTCAGTACTGTAACAGATAGATCTTTTGAGATGCAGTCATTGGTATATAGAGAGAAGTGGAGAGAGAACACAGCCTTGGGGGGCTCCTGTGCTAATTGTACAGGTATCTGATATGATTTTGCCTAGCTTCACCTGCTGCTTCTGTCTCTTAGGAAGCTTATGAGCCATTTATAAGCTAGCTGATTTAGTTTAGTTAGAAGAATATCTGGAATGATGATACTAAATGCTGAACTGAAGTCTACGAAGAGAAGCCTTGCATAGGTCTTTGGAGATTCAAGATGTTGTAGGATCTGTATCTCTTTTTTTAAGAGAGAGAGAGCTTAAGTGAAAGTGGACTTCCATAGTACCATTCAAATAAACAGTACAGTACATTCTATACCAGTGTTTTTCAAATTTGGCAACTTTAAGATGTGGACTTCAACTCTCATAATTGTTAAATTTGCTAAATTAGAAAAATACTGTTTTATATATACTTATCCATTCATAGGTATACCTGCATACCAGGGGTGAAATGTAAAATTTGTTACTACCCGTTCTGTGGGCGTGGCTTGGTGGTGGTGAGGTAATGTGACTGGGTGGGCGTGGCCAACTTTTTTCTTTTTTTTAACTTTTCAAAACATTTTTTCGAATGCTTTGAAAAGCCTCTGCCGATCAGGCAACTCCGCTGGGCTCGTCAGAGACTTTTCAAAGCATTTTTTTTACCACCTCTTCAGCCAAGAGGTTGCAGAAAAAAATGCTTTGAAAAGCCTCTGACGATCCCAGCTGAGCCGCACGATCATCAGAAGCTTTTTTTTTTACTTTTAAAAGCATTTTTTCGTCGGAAGAGGTTGTAGAAAAAATGCTTTTAAAAGTTAAAAAAAAAAGCCTCTAATGATCGTGCGGCTCAGCTTGGCATGGTGTGGGTAGGGGGGAACCGGGAACATTTCACCCCTGCTGCATACCTATATATACCTATCATTCATTAAGGCTTATTCCCAAATCGGTGGATGCTGAATTGTAGTTCCAGTAATAATAAACATAAGTAATTCTCTTCTCTGCTGGGATTCACTGCAGGATGTGACAGAAGAGACACCAGATACACAACTAAGCTGGGAGCCTCTAGCTTCAAAGCTGAAGAAATTTAAACAGTTGTAGTCTGTCACATAAGTAAAATGACATTAAGCAGAAATTAGACATATTCCTGAAGGAGGAGATTATTTTCATTCCCTGTTTCTGATACTTAGCTATGAATGCTGATATTTATGTAGGAGGAAGAGCACCACTGACTGAAAAATGGTAGCACGAGCAGACTTAGGAAGACTCCATAAAATATGTAGAAGGAACAAATTAGGATGACGTGTAGGAATTTTGATGGAGGTAGTCCTCAATTTATGACTGGCTGCGTAGTGACTATTTGAAATTACGTGGGACACCCACCCACCAAAAATGCTATTTACAACCCAGTTCCAGAGTTCGAACGGCCACATTCCCCTGTCACATGACTGCATTTTGATCACTCAGCAACTGGCCCACATTTATGACCATTTGCAGAGTACCTCAGTCATATAACCATGATTTATCATGTTTTTGCAGGAAACTGGCAGTTTACTTCCTTTCCAGCAGAAAACAGCCCACGACAAACAATGGGTTTTACGGTTACGACCACCACAAAGAAGATTCTAAAGTCAGGTTGGTCGCTGATGATGACCCATTTTACAATTGTAATTGCCAGGAACAATTACGATCATAAGTTAAGGACTACCTGTATTTAAAACTGCTTCTTGACAGGAGTTTATTGCAAAACAGCCCTGCCTCATTCATAGATTTTTATGGGGCATTCAGATGCTACTTTTAGTTCTAATTATATTCATTTATTTTCTTCTTTCTGTATTTCCTTCTTTTCACAGAAAAACACACAAAAGTGTGGAGTAGAAATGGGAGGACCACACAAGCATTTTGGGCAAAGGGGTAGGAATGGATCAGAGCTGGCATCCTGAATCATAGCTCTCTATCCTATTGTGTATTCTCAAAGGTCCTACTTACTAGTTGTGATTTCTATATTGAAATCCAAAGCAATAAATAATTTATATGCTCCTGAAAACAGGAGGGGAAATGCATTGCTTTCTTCTCTGTTGATGATTTCCTGATTTCTGATTGGATATTATTGTATTATCCAATGTGGATGTATTGAGAATTCCAGAAACAATGGACTTTTTGAAGACAGAATGGACATTCTTACATTCCCTTTTGTTAGCAAATATATTCTAATTCAGGGTTCCCTTCTTGATGTCTTATAGAGTTATAAACCAGGACATCTGGAGGTTACTGTTTTGTAGAAAACTAGACCATTTTGTATTACTATCCAGGCCTTTGATTGAGGCTGCCAGAGAAAATGTCCATAGGTAATCGTTTGAACCTCGTATATTAGCACCTAATTGCCATTGCCTAGGTGTGAAACCAGTATTAGTGGTAGGCAAATAATGGTTGCGAAAGTGATATTTAAGAATGGGTCTGATGCTTCTGAGTATAATTCTTAATGATTTTTTTCCGTTTCTGTATCAGGGAGGTGCCCTTTTACTTAATCATCACATCACTGGCAGGAGGATACCTTTAAAGATTGTCCATCCTTTCCTATTGGGTGTCTTATATCTATCTGCTCCCTGGGACTACACGTTGCATTGAAGCTCTCTTTCACTTGGCCCAGTCTCCTCTGGCTTAGTGGTTCTACTTTTATCTGCAGGAAGCTTGGAGGACAAGAACTTCCTTTCTTGCAGGAGTAAAAGATGGCTGCCACACAGGAAGTGCCTCCTCCAGCATTGGGCCTCCATTTTTTATACCCATTAGAAGAAACAATGGCACCCAGAGTGAAAATAGAAGAGCCTGGACCCCCATGCCCTGAAGCTGGTTGGGAATGGGATGCTCCGGGGAAGACTCCTCTTGTTGTCCAAGCAGGCACCATTAGTGATCTGTTGAGGTGGGCAACTCCTCCCCAAGTGAGGAGCGACCCAATTCCACAGCTCTGGGAGGTTCAGTGCCAGGAGATGGTGCAAAGCCTGAGGACACCTGCTGATGTCATGCCAGCCCCTGTGCCTGCCCCTCCCCCAGCCCCTGGCTGGAACAATCTCCAGCTACCTGAGCTTGCACCTGTGGATGACATTGAAGCCTACCTGTCATCCTTTGAGCGGGCAGCCGAATCATGCCAGTGGCCAAGAGGAGAGTGGATGAGCCGCCTTATGCCAGCTCTTGGAAAAGCCCAACCACCCCATAATGGCTTGGATGCCAGAAGTGGCAGGAATGAGCACAGAAAATCCAAATCTTCCAGCCTGCGAGGGGAATCAGGTGCCAATGTGGAAATGCAACGGCAGCGTTTCCGGCAGTTCCGTTACCAGGACTCTGAAGGCCCCCGGGAGGCTTGTCGGAGGCTCCGGGAACTTTGCCGACGTTGGCTGAAGCCTGAGAGCCGCACAAAGGAGCAGATTCTGGAACTGCTTATCCTGGAGCAGTTCCTGACTATCTTGCCCCAAGAGATCCAGAGCTGGGTGTGTGAACGAGGCCCTGAGACGTGCGCCCAAGCAGTGGCCTTGGTAGAAGGATACCAGATGGCACGGCGAGAGACAGGGATGTGGGAGCAGCAGGTAAGGGAACGGTTAATCTTGATTCTAGGCGATACATTGTGATGAAAACTTCTAACATCCTTAGCACTCCAATATATGTTTTCTCATTCCACACACCCCCACCCACCCACAAGGCAAAGGAGAATTGTATCAATGTATTAATGATTGAATCAGTGTTTCATGGAAATAAAAATAGCCAAATGCAACATGCAATATAAATGGGCAGGAAACAGCTCAGTCAAGCATAGAGGAAGGATGGTAGACAGGTAAAAGTTTTTTGAATTGGCACAAGATTTCAACAGAATTGCCTTTTTTTAATGTGTTGATTTGTTTATCAATTATTTTTTAATTAGGCTTTAAAACCTTTCCTGTTTTATATACAAAGGGGGCAGAAAAGATTGGGTCATACGACAGGCTTCCTCATTATTAACAAATGAATCTGCATTCAGCCAGCCATGTTTCTTCCTGATTTATTCAGGCTGGAAATGGCTCTTCATCGATTGTGGAGGGCCTTTTGTATGCAAGCAAGCAGGTGGATTCTGGCGGGAAACAAGCCAAAAGCAACATCTCCAATGGCAGTTCTCACAGCCTCTTGTTATTAGCCATGTTGGTTAGAACTGATGAGAGCTGAAATCCAAAACCTTCAGAAGACTCCAGGCTTTTGGCTACTCCAATGAATAGAGTGCTAGATAAGGTGGACTTGCTATCAGATTGATCTGTATCCTTTTGAAAAGTTTTCGGAATGGGAATTGCAAAACAACAACAATGGACGCTTGAAAGGCTGATTAATTATTCTCTTTTAGATTCGAAGCTTAAACAGGTAAATGGAATGGGTAGATTCCCCCAAGTTCTTAGTGACCCACTGTTGTTCTTGTTGCTAGGTTACAGTGCGGGTCAAGGTTGAACAGGTAAGCCCACAGGAAATGATTTTACCTGGAGCACCATGGGATCCTTCAGCCTCACTGCTGCCCCATCCTGAGTACATATCCTCATCCGATCCCACACTAAACCAGCCTATCCCAGGCCCAGCTCTCAAGATGCCTTGCATCCCAAAACAGGAACCACAAGGCCTTCAGGAAACAGGTAAGAAGGAAGAGAGAAGCAGGAATGTTCTATGAATTTTTCCTGCCAAAGGGAATCAGTTGCCATAAGAAAAACAAATCATAAATATTTTGGGAAATTTTGTCTGTAACAGATGAGGAATTGTCCATTATCTCTAGCCAGTGGAGTTGGGACAGGAATTTGTAGTTCAGCAATAGCTGAAAGATAGTTGACCTAAGAAATTCAGACAGTTTTTTTTAAAGGAAATCTATTTTAAAGGAATGATTGGCTATCAGAGAATATGAATATTCATTTAAAAATTCTAAATGCTTTGCTTCCATTTAGTGGGCGTCCATGTTTGCAGTAAAAATTTGGTGGCTCTGTGTAAACCATGTTGTTCAATAGTAAATATGATAAAAATATTTCATTTTTAGGGGACAGCAGTTTGATGAAGGTGGAAGAGAGAATATAATCTACCTTATCTATCTCATCTATCTGAGCATTTTTACTTCACTCAATAGAGCAGCTTACACATGACCACTATAAACAAGATATACTCTGCCCAGATGTTGGGGGGGTGGGGAGAGCTGAATTGAAAAAAGAAAATAAATCTTAAAATTCAATTTCTTCCAATAATGTAGCACTTTTTCTTTTTGTGCCTTTGAGTCAATCATGATTTTTGGCATATGTCTAGATGAGTCCCTATAGTTTTCCTGTCAAGGTTTTTTAGAAGTGGTTTGCCAATGCCTGCTTTCTAAGGCAGGACTAGAACTTGAAACTGCTATACCACTACAAAATTTAAATGATTTTGTATCTAAATCCTATCTCATTTGATCTCATTTGTGTGTATTGCATTTGAAAGAAAAATGCATCTTTCAAAGAAGTTTGTCTTTCTCTATTTGATGCATTTCAGATGAGTTGAACTTCTATTCCAAATAAATGGAAGATATATGTCAGTTACGCTTTTCATAGGAGCTTCATCGACTGACTACAGAGGACAGTAATTTGAGATACAACTCAAAACAGTACATATTATTCAGGCTCATTAAAGTGATTGTAGGATTAGAAAGATGAAGGGTGTTCCATTAATTTGGCCTGATCTGGCTCCTACCAGATATCACGTGTTAAAACTCCAGTAATTCCCATTTCCAGAATTTTTAATTGGGCCCAACTGTGGCTCCTCCAGTTAACTGCCTCAGGCTTTTTATTATCCAAGCTAGGGACAGTAGAGAATTGTTCATTAACAGTCTCAAAGGTGCTTTTTCAAAAGGCAACTGGACTGTTTTTTCCTTGAAGAATAAGAAGATATTTTGCTCCTCATCCAAGAAGTTTCATGGGTTCTGACAGGATGTTGGGGGCGAAAGTCCAGAATGTGGCCCTTCTGGATAAAGAGAACCATTGGTTTGGAAGAGATGTAAAAGAGGCCATTTATGTTAAGCAGCATACTGAGCAGCCCTTTCTCAACAGAGGGAGAGGAATATGACACCACCTATCTCCTGCCTACAACATAGTCCTTTCAGCAGTTCCAAGAAGATTCCATCCCCCATTTGCCCTCTGATACAGGTGACCCTGAGAGCACAGATAAACAAACTCTCAAGTGGCCTCAAGAGTTCTCAGGGACAGTGCTAACAACCAGAGGACTGCAAAGAAATATAATCCTTCCACCACCACCCCATCCTGTCAGATCTAATTCTTCCATCATCCTCACCATCCTGGAAGAGCCCATGAAGCTTCTTGGATGAGAAGCAAAATGCCTTCAAGGAAAAACAAAGTCTAGTTGCCTTTTGAAAAAGCACCTTTGAGACAACAATGACCTGGATGACTGAGAATCTCCAAGACGTTCATTTACAGTTTAATGTAAATTTATCTGATTTCCAATTCCTGTATCTATGGGCAAACTGGATGCAGTTGTTTAACCTAAATCCACTCTTTTGAAACTTAATAATTACAATAGACATTTCATAGAACAAGTTTAAAATCTGAAAAAGGAAGAATTGAGCAAAATCAATCATAAATGAGGCATCTCTTCTTTTTATTCTACCAAACCTCAACCGTTTCTTGCCTATAGTTAGCTGCTTCTGGTTCCCCTTTTTGGAATCAAATTTGTATATTTATTCTCTACTTCTTGCTTTCCAAACCCAACAATCATTGCTCTTACATGGCCAAGAGTTAAAAGTGCCAAAGAATCTTCAACCAAGAACTAAAAATTAATTTGTGGAAATGATTTTTAAAATTTACTTCTGTTTGTACTCTGTATAGATGCTCTGGAATAAAATAAGTCTTATCCTACACCAACTTATTTTTGATCAGCTATTAGTCTGACACACAACCAAAACTATGTCTATGTATGCAGACATCACCAGATGGAACATACAGAAACTAAATTGACTCTATTTTTTATATAAAGAGGTGGAAGAGCTCAGTTAGAAGAACAAAGATGTGACCAGGAGCTAATCACAGAACAGATTCAGCTCAAGCTAAAGTGGAAGAACAAAGGCAGTCAGTTTTCAAAGTAAGATCTTAAACATAAGCGTCCCATTTTCAAAGACAACATTAGGCACTTTGAAGTCCTGAACCTGACTGATAGGAAACCAGAGATACTATAAAATTAAAAAGTTGTTATGGATGAATGTCAAAAGCGACCACTAAAGAGAGGAAATGGCCGAGGAAGTAAAAGTAATTGGAACTCAGGGAGGTAGAGATCATGCTGTCCTGGAATTTCAGATAATGTGATGATGAGAAACTGCAGTCGTACCTCAGTATTAAACTTCATGAGAGAAAGCTTTGTTGGACTTAGTAAGATAATAGGCAAGATCCAACAGTTTGGTATTGTATAGGAGAAAAATGTCCAAGAAGATTGGGAGCTTCTGTGATAATGTGATCTTGGAGGTACAAATCCAAACAATTCATACAAGAAGGAAAAATTAGAAAATCTGAACAGATCAAAGTGGATCTCCACAGAACGTAAAAAAATTGCTTAAAGGAAAAAATCAAATGTACAAGAAATGGAAAGAGAGGAATATATCCTAAGAAGAATACAAAGCAGTTTGCAAAAACTACAGATTTAGTGGGAGAAGAGCTAAAACCTAGTACAAAGTCAGGCTAGTTAGAGATGCCAAAAACAACAAAAGTTGTTTTTTTTTCCAGGAAAGTCCCAAGCAAAAGGAAAGTGAAAGAGACAGGAGATCTTCTGAAGGGAGAGAATGGTAAATGGTCAAGGAAGAGGATAGAAAGCATAACTCAACTTTTATGTTGTATTTGTTTTTTCTCAGAAGTTGAATGAACTTTCGGTTGTGCCGTTTGGGGGGAGAGGGGGTGTAATGAACTGAAGCTCAAGATAAGCAAAGAGCAACTGAGGGAATTCCTAGCTAATTTAAATGAGTTACTCTTCAGAACCAGATGATTTATACCCTGGGGAAACACACACACCCCAACCTTTTTTTTGGCACCAGGAACCAGTTTCGTAGAAGACAATTTTTCCATTGGGGGAGGGAGAATGGATTCTGTTTCACTCGCTTACCTGCCACTCCCCTCCAGCTGTGCAACCCAATAGGCCACAGACTGGTACTGTGGGTCCATGACCCAGGGATTGGGGGGCCCTGCCCTTGAGTATTGAAGAAACTAGCAGAGATATTTGCAGAACCATTCTCTGTAATTTTCAGTACATCTGGAGAATAGACAAGGTCCCAGAAGACTGGAAAAGAATTACTGTAAAGAAGCAGGACCCAGGAAACTACAGGCCTATGAACTTGACATTAATACTGGGCAAGATCCTTGAGCAGATTATCAGGGAGCACATCTGAGTACATAGATAGGAATTTATTAATTAATAGGAGCCAACATGAATTTATGTTGAACAAGTCATGTCAGATTAACAATCTCCTTTTGACTGAATTACTGGTCTGGTTGATTAGGGAAATGCTGCGGATATAGTATATCTTGACTAAAATCTCTCAGAGCATCCTTATCTACAAAATGGTCCAAACATTCTGAATGGGTGCCACAGGGCTGTGTCTTGGATGGTTCTGGTGTTTTTATAAACAACATGGAAGTGGGAGTCCAAGGAATACTTACCAAATGCGCAGAAGATACAAAGCTAGGAAGGATGGTCAATACATATAAAGCTAGCCCACTTATCACTGATTGCTTAGCAACCATTCAAAGTGACAATGGACTCTCCCAAAGATACTTACAACTCCGATTCATAGTTACAAACAGCCACTTCCCTATCCACCCATGGTCACATTATCGAATTTTGAGTGCTTGGCAACTGACCGTATTTACAGCCATTAGTAGGAACCGGCAGTCATGTGATTTATGGCTTTTTTGCTGGCAAAAAACACCCGTTGCTGACAGTAGATTTGCTTTACAACTGCCAGATTCGCTTTACGATCATCATAAAATCGGGTTGAGCTGCCTCAACTTATGAGCGTCATGATATAGAGGCTCCCATTACAGTTGTTCAATTAAGGACAATCTACATAGGATGCAGAAAATAATGACTCATGAGCAGCACATGTGAGAAGGACTTGGGTGTACTAGTGGATCATAAGCTCAGCAAATCTCAACAGTGTTATGCAGCTTGCAGAGAATATCAACAACATCTTGAAGAGCATCAAGAGGAGGATGGAATCCAGATTGTGAGAAGTAATTGTCTCAGTCTGTTATGCTTTGGTCAGGCTTCCCTTGGGGTTCTGCATTCAGCTCTGTACGTACAGTTTTTAAAAAATTGATAAACTGGAGCAAGTCCATAGAAGGGCTTCCAAGAAGGTTGAAAGGATTGAAAACCAAATCCTATAAGGAACAGTTAGAAGTCCTAGGTATGTTTAGCTTGCAGATGAGAAAGATAAGAGCAACATGATGTTGTATTCAACTTTCTAAAGGGCTGTCACATTATAGAAGATTTGTGGTGACGCAGTGCTTAGAATGCAGTTTTGGAGGCTAACTCTGCCCACTGCCAGGAGTTTGATCCTGACTGGCTCAAGGTTGACCCATCCTTCCAAGGTTGATAAAATGAGGACCCAGATTGTTGGGGGCAATATGCTAATTCTGTAAACCACTTAAAGAGTGCTATAAAGCACTAAGTCCTATTACTATTTGGGCTCATTCTTACTTGCTCCAAAGGGTAAAACTATATCTAAAAAGACGAAACCTCAAGGATGTGTATATATATATATATGCACATATTAGACATAAATATTAGTTATATTACATTTATTGGACATATTAGACATTTCACTCAGTGGAATAAGTTACTGCCAGAGTGGTTTTCAAAGAGAGGCTTGTTAGTCATCTATTGGAGATGGTGTAGTAAGTCCTGTAGTGTGCAGTAGGTTGGATGTGATGACCTTTAGATCTCTTCCAACTCTACAATTCTATGATTCTAAGACTGAGGAACAACATATATTATTGCTGATGCATGCTGAATAATTGAGAAAGCCAAAGAATACCAAAAATAAATCAATACATGCTTCATTGAATATAGAAATGGCATGGATTGTGTCAACCATGTCAAATTATGGCATGTTCTTAGGAAAACAACAATCTTAGAATGTCTCATTGTTTTCTTGCAAAACCTCCTACACAGCCCAGGAAGATATAATCTGGATGGAACTTGGTGGAAGTTTGGAAGGAGTAAGACAAGGTTGTATACTCTTTCCTTATTTCTTCAAACTATGGTGTTGCCCCGAAAATAAGACCCAACCAGAAAATAAGCCCTAGCCTGATTTTTTTAGTGTGCCCTACTCCCAAAATAAGCCCCAGTTAAGATCGTTATCAGTTTGGGGGGGGATGGCCAGCTCTGAAGGCATCGAGGCTGCAGGGTCCATCAATAGCCGCAGCCCAAGCAGTGCAGGTGAGTTGATTACCTGTCCAAGCAGCAGTCAGAGGTGGGAGGGAGGTGGTCTAGACACACTGCAGGGGCTGCGGGAAAGCGAAGTCAGGCCAGAGTGGTTGGGCAGCTACAGGAGGCTTGATTTCGTGCAGCGGCACCAGCAGCAGATGGAGGCAGAGGTGCAGGGGTGGAAGGCAGGCAGTCCAGATGCATGGGCTGAGGGAAAGCCAAGAGTCAGTATAACACTTGTACTAATAGCAGAACAAGATTTTTGTTGAGGTTATAAAGATCCAAAGTAACTGCCCAGCTTCATCATTTCTAAAACGATAAAATATAAGCTATCAGTTTGCAAACAGAAATTACAAGAACTGACACAGTTGGAGAGCATGCAGGTAGTCCTCAAGTTATAGGACTACCTGCAAGTTATAGCCATCATTGAGCCTGGCAATTACAGTCATAAGTCATGATGGTTGTAAAGCAGAGTCACCATGTGACCAGTTTTACGATCTTTTTTGTTGGGGTTGTTCGGTGAATGTCACGGCTATTGTGGGAAGAATCTATTGTTAGCTATCAACCGTTTCTTGCTGGAAACCAGAAGTAAATGCTGGTTTCCAGCAAAACCATCATAAATCGCCCATCTGACCACAGTGCACTGCAAGAGCCGTAAATGCGGACCGGTTGCCAAGCACCCAAAATGCAGCCGCATGTTGGCAGAAGAGCACAATGTCAGAACTTCAAAACTAGATCACAAGTAGCTTTTGGGGGTCTGGTGCAACTTCAACTGGTCACTAAAATGACTGGTTGTAAGTCGAGGACTACTTGTGCCTGTTTGTCTTATGTTGATAGCTGCATGTTGTCAGACTCATCTGCCCATTATGAAAGACTTTTTTCTTTTCTTTTGACAGGTTCCCTACTAGCCAATGGAAACCGAGAGGAGCACTCTTTGCCTGGAAGCACGATGGAAATGGGATTGCTACCTGGGAATTCCCGGGAGAAAATGTTGGGTGAGAATTGTGTTGAACGGATGAGTCAACAATTTGAAGTGAGATGTGGAGACATAAGAGAGAATCCAGTTGCACACCCCAACTCTTTTGGACGCTCTCACCCAACAGGAAAGTCCCTTCACCAGTGTTCACAATGCGGGAAAACATTTAGCCGTAACTCACATCTGCTCACCCACCTAAGGATCCATACTGGGGAGAAGCCCCACCAGTGCCCTCAATGTGGCAAACGTTTTGGTCATACTTCCCAGCTGACTCGTCATCAGAGGACCCATGCCTCAGAGAGACCTTTCCGATGTGCTCAGTGCAGCCGAAGTTTTTACCAGAGCTCAGAGTTGACCAGGCATCGAGTATCCCATGCCAGAGACCGTCCGTATGGGTGCAGCCAATGTGGGAAGAAGTTCCGTTGGAGTTCTGATCTCATCCGACACCAGATCACGCATACAGGAGAGAGACCGTACAAGTGCCCTGACTGTGGGAAGAAGTTTGGTCAGAATTCACACCTGGTTCGACATCGGAGAACCCACACTACTTAGCCAAGATCTTCCCAGAAGGAAAGAAAACTGTGTTTCCCAGCATTGAAAGCTCAATAAGGGCCAAAGCATGGAACCAGACCACCACTTAGCTTAGTGTCATATTGAGCCAGATGACAGATAAACTTTGGTTCAATATCTGCAGAGGTTTATCTGTTGATGTGGCTTAATTAGATAGAATCCAGTCGATCCCCAGCAGGATAGACAAGGTGGCAGTTCCACAATATCAATTTGTGTTCTACAACTAGAGAGTCACAGTAGAACGAAACTGATTACTCTAAAAAGGTGCAGAGCCTTTAGAATTGACTACCTGGACAATACTAAACCACTAATATTGTGGTGGCACCAGTTGGATGTCTTTTTTTCTTTCTCTATCTCCTTTTCCTTCCTCCCTCATTCTCTCTTTTAATAGAAAATGTAATAGGTCTTCTATCATCTAGACAGATTTTCTGTTACATAACACAACCTGTATTCCTTGCCCTAAGAACATTTCTTTGTCGTGAAGCAAAAGCAATGTATTTTTTAGAGAAGATGACCAGTCTGTATTAGCAGAGGGTTGAAATCTTTAAAATGATGGAGATCCCCTCTTGGGGAAGCTGCTGTGAAGTATTTTGCCTTTTTTTAAAAATTGCAACTTTGATAAATGGAAATATTGTCAACCTAAATTTGTAGTGACATGGAATATATACAACAGGGCTGGGTTTGATTTCAATTGGTTGGCCTGCAGGTTAGGTAAACTTTATTTTGGCCGATTCTTAGGGATGGCCATGAATACACAGGGGGATTGATCGCAGACCTTCCATCTGGTCCTTTTCATTGTCAATAATCTTATTGATCTACTTGCACACCTCAGCCTCTTTCTTCTTTGTGAGCGACAACACTGGCAAAACACTCTTTCCTCACATTCAGCAAAGAATATCTCAAAAAGTATATTCTTGGGTACTTCAAGAGGAGAACGCTGCTACATTTTTAATGCTTTTCACACTGAGTCATGGGAAGAGGTGGAAGGAGTTAGAGTCCTTTGCTGGAGGGAATCTGTAGATGGCACTTAATGCACTTTACCCTTTTTATTGACATATGACATGATAACCCTGACCAGGGATTTCTTGTAATTAATTATGGTAGCCATGTTGACAGAATACATTTATCAAGACAATGAACACTCAAGGTATTGCACCACTCAGCACACTTAAGTTTCGTTACTCTTTGGCAGTTGCTTACATGTTGTGTGGATCCCACTCATTTAATTAGATTAAGTTCCAGTAACCCAAATAATGGGTTAATTCAAGAGCCAGGTTAAGCATCTGGTATGAACATAATCTGCTAGAAGATAAAAATACCTGTTATGAACCAGGTGGTCACGGTTAGGAAGGCCTCCAGAGGGGTCTTTATTTCTCTTGGGAATGGTTAAACAAATGACCTTCCACTGACCAGTAAGGCTCTCCCCTCAGTCTCCCAAACAACAGTTCATAGATTACCAAGCCAGGCCACAAGGCAAAAGTCCAAACAAGACAAAATCAGTTTCAAAGGTAAAGTCTTTAAGGCTAGGACAAGACAAGAACAGTCCTTAAAGCAAGGCAAAATCAGTCCTCAAAGCAAGATAAAGCAGTGCTGACAGCAAGGCAAAAGGTCTGAGTCAAAGCTGGGGAGTATAATCTGGAAAAAAAAAAAAAACACTTGTTCCTGGCAAAAACTCCTCCTCCCTAAATACTATTGCCCAGGTGAGCCTTGTGAGGAGGGGTGGGGTGTCCTCCTCCCAAGTAGTTGGGCCACCCTTCGCTGACTACTCCTCCATTCTACACTGGGGATCCAGCGATGAAGACAGTTGCTCTTCTGCGTTGCTCCTCTGCTCCACTGCCCTTTCCCTCCCCCCTCATTCGATTATCCTGCACCCTTTCTTTCTCCCTGCTTACTCTTCGGAAGCCCAAGGGACCCGGGACTGCCTCGTCCTCTTCCCCAGGTCATTTCTCCTGGGCCATAGGGACTGTGCCATCCCGCTCTATCGCCCCTGGCTCCATCTCCTCCTTGGATCTGGGCTCCAATGGGCCATGACAGTACCTAAGAATTATTGCCTAAAAATAAAGTTCACTTTTTGATTAATAATAATAACTTTGTCATTTTACGTATATACACAGTATACCCATACAACGAAATTCACTTAACACCCAAAGACCAGGTCCAACACACATAACAATCCCCAAACACACTCCCACCCACCACAATTCCCCACCCCTAAACCACCCAAACATCCACACAACAGACCAAGTAATACTGTCCAACAGCTCACTGATGGTGGCCCTTTAGTTCATTGTTGAGGTCAGTTATAGCTCTGGGATAAAAACTATGCAGAAAGCCTGTGGTCCGAGTTTTAATTGTTCTGTATCTTCTGCCAGAAGGCAACAGTCCAAAAAGATTGTAAGCAGGATAGGAAGAGTCTCTGAGAATGTTATGCAACTTCCTCAAACAGCGAGATTCAAAGATGTCGTCCAGGGCTGGTAGCTGCAGCCCGATGATAATCTGGGCAGTTTTAATGATTCTCTGTAGAGCTTTTTTGTCTGCTACAGAGCTGCTCCCATACCATGCAAGAATGCTGTATGTCAGGACACTCAATGGTGCTGCGATAGTAGGACAGAAGTAGATGCTGAGATAGATTTATTTTCCTGAACATTCTCAGGAAGTACAGCCCTTTCTGTGTCTTCTTCACATTCTGATTGCTGCAGATATACAGTGCCCCATTCAGTGATCTCTCAAGGTTTGTCTATTACTCATTAAAAAAAAAAAAAAAGACAGGTGAATACCAGATATGGAATGCTAGCTTTTTAGTTATTAGTAAAAAAGCAAAACTTGTCTTTTAATTATACTAGAGCCATTTCCTCAGACTGCCTTATTTTCACAATGTGCCTGTCAGCGTTCCAAGTAACGCATCCGCCAAAAGCAGAACTCCAAGGTAGATTCCTCAAAGAACATGTTTATTGGATACATCGTATCAGCATAGCCGGTGAAAATAAATTCTAAGTTTCCACAGTTTTCACCTAACTAAAACAACAAATATTCCGTTTCCCAGATGTCCCTGATCACATTATCTAATGAAAGTAGCTGGCAGGCTGCTTGATCACTCCTTTCCTCCTTCAACTGACATCTGTTGAGATGACCTTGGTTCCCACAAGAAAATTTTTTTGTTTTGATTATTAGCCGGTCTATTTACTTCCCCTCTTCCTTCCCCCCTCTCAGGGTTCATGGCAACTATGTAATAGCAAAAAGATGGCTTCAGCTTCAGAGCTGGCAGCGCCCTTCAAAGATTAGTGCAGCTGAGAGATATTAGAACATAATTAATAAAAAGGTAAAGGGTCTTTTAATCATCTAGACTGATTTATTGTTACATAACATAATCCGTATCTTTTCTTTTATGTACACTGACAGAATATGCACCAAGACAAATTCCTTGTGTGTCCAATCACACTTGGCCAATAAAAAATTCTATCTTCTATCTATCTTCCTTGCCCTGAGATCATTTCTTTGTCATGAAGCAAAAGCCCAGCATCATCATTGCCACCTTGTCTTGAAATTATATAAGCTGCCTCCTTCATAGTGGGCACCTTATTGGTATTATAGCTCATCAGGTTTGGAAAGGCTATGATAGATTTTTCACCATAAATGTGAGGCATTGACATTTTCTCAAGACAAACCTGAAACAGGTTTGCTTTTCTGTGGCCTAAAAAAATGTCCATGATGGTATGCAAGGAACTATTTTAATTTGGGGCATTAAGCTCATCCTTTTAGCGCATTTATTTATTTATTGTTTATTTATTTATTGGTTCGATTTATATGTCACCCTTCTCCAGAGACTCAGGGTGGCTTACAATGCATTAAGCAATAGCCTTCATACTTTTGTATATACCTGCTTAGTAGGGCTTTTGGCCCCCCCAAGCGGTGTTCTTTTTATACAAAGTCATCTTATTGCCCCCACAATCCAGATCCTCATTTTACCTACCTCGGAAGGATGGAAGGCTGAATCAACCTTGAGCCTGGTGAGATTTGAACTCTCAGTAATTACAGGCAGCTGGCAGCTAAGTGCTACTTAACAGCACTTTAATCCACTGCACCACCAAGGCTCTTTATAGTTGGAACTAAACTCTGTAAGAAAAAATCAAAGTGAGAAGAAAAAACAGTGATACTTGGGTAATACTCATAGTAATCAAAAGATGAAACTCCAGGATTGTGTTCCAATTACTTGTAATTGATACAAAAGGACCCCCAAATATGTGCAAGTGTATTTTATTTGCACAGTCTATATAAGATTTTGTATAAGAATTCACTTTACTATGATGCAGATTTTAGTATGGATGATGTGAAAGTAAGTTCATATTTTATGTAAGAAAAATTAGCTGAAGCTCCCCTGGAGAAAAACATACGTTTCTATAGTCAGCTTTTAATAACCAAGTAGATTACTTTGAAGAATAGATTAATGAAGTTTCCAGAGTTTTCAAGCGGTGTTTCATACAGAAGATATCTTCAACCTAGATATCAGGAATTACAGTTAAGATCCCTATCAAGCATCAAATTTTAAAAAGCAGGTATGGATGATGCTTGGGGTTTGTTTTTTTTTACACTGAGGAAGGACTTCCAGACTGCTCAAATTGCAGAGTGGGAGGACAATTTGTTAGTTTAAACATTTGGTGTGATGGCTTAGAACCCTGATGGCGAACCTATGGCCTCTCTGCAGGCACGCCAGCCGTTGCCCCAGCCCAGATCCACTGCGCATGTGTGCGCGCCTCCCACTGGCCAGCTGGTGTTCGGGTCTCTGCTGTGCATACAGGGGGTGGGCGGATGTGCAGAGAGGCAGGGTACATGCACAGGGGTGCAGGTTGGTGCAGGAGGCTTTCCAGGCCCAAAACAGGGCCCAGGAGGGCCCCGTGCCCCATTTTGGGCCTGGAAAGCCTCCTGCACCAATCTGGAAACCAAAAGGGGGTGTGGATGCACACGCATGCATGGGGATACATGCACATGCATGGAGGGCACATGCGTGGGGGTGCTTGCAATGCATTTTGGGGGTTCGGGCATGAGCGCTTGCATTCGCGCACGCTTTGGGCACTCAATACCAAAAATGTTAACCATCACTGGCTTAGAAGAAAGATTAAGCACTACGCTACACTCAAGTTATATACTAGAGCAAGGTCCAATGACGACAACCGACTTTTTAAGAAACATTCTCACACTCCAAGAATCTTGCACATGAACTTTCCAATTTAATACAAAGAAATTTGGTTTTTTTTGCTGCAATTCCCAATTTTGATAATTTGTTCACAAAGATTTTGTACACATCCATTTCTGGAAATAGGATGAATGCTACGTATGTGAGCCATCACCGAAAGTAGGAATAGATTAGACCATTCTTTGACTTCTGGGCTAGTTGGCTAGAGTTTTGTGTAAAAATTCCAAGGAAGCTGTGGTTAGAAAGTTGTGGCTAACTCCAATATCTTTGAGATAAAAATCAGTATTGTGTTCCATTTGGTGTAAATACCAGAACAGATGATCTGCAGCTGCTGCTCATCTCAACCCTTCGCTCTTTTGCACACTGATGCAGTAGTGTTCAGAAATGTGTCTCCATTGCTAACCTCACCTTTGATTTTGTTGTGCTGAGGATGGGGATTAAAGACCTTAAAGT